GACGTTTGAATATTTTGCACAACCTGAAAAGAGAATTTTCTGAAAACTGTGTAAGTCTTTGATGCCAAAAATAATGCAATCTTTGTCATTGTGGAAACTATCTTTGTACATTTGCTTAAACATTGTTAGACACTTAATGCAGGGCAATATTTGGAACTTTTGAATAGTCAAAATGTGTTTTCTCTCTTTGCAAGGCTGTTTATTTACATTTGTTGCACTTTCTTGGTGCTGAATCGCTTAGGAGCTCTCATGAATTTTGGCAAAGATTTCATTCCAGTTCTAACTATATTGGTATATGGCCTTTGAACGTTTGGATAGCATAGCGAGTGAACGGAAATGGGATGAAACTTGGTAGATATTCCGTCGATAAGAGCTCTGGGGAGTCATCACCATGTTATCCCAGGTCAAGCTCTGCAGATTATAACATGCTGCATGAGGCTACAATGTGGTCATGTAAAGTACTTGCCACATCTTGGGAAAGAATTTTCATAAGCTTAATTGCGAATTGTTTATTCTACATTGGTTGGATCTTTGTTATGGGAGTGTAAGTGAGATGATGAAGTTTGTATTTTCTGATAGGAGCTGGCATTAAGGAGACAGATCCTATTTCACCTCAGGAATAGGTCATAGTACAAGTAAAGTAAAAGGGCAATCCGGTGCACTAAGCTCCCGCTATGCGCGGGCTCCAGGGAAGGGCCGGAGAACTGTACGCAGCCTTATCCTGCATTCCTGCAAGAGGTTGTTTCCACGGCTCGAACCCATGACCTAATCATATGGCATCAACTTTACCAATCACGTCAAACTCCCCTTCCATAGTACAGGTAAAGTATCCATCAAGTTGGACCAAAGAAAGACAATATATAAAATAGTATAGTAGTTTAATACAAATGTATGTGAATTAACAATGTATTTGGTCATTTGATGGTCATTTGAGTTATCCACTATTTGTTCTTTGTCAGTTGGCATGTGAAAGCAACATTGTATATGCATAAGTAGACAAAGTATGCCTGTGATTTTCATATGTTTGATCCTTGTGATCTCGTTGCAGTCTATTTTTTAAGTGATTTGCTGGAGAAAGTGAACAAAATGGTCATGATTTCATCTTACAATATGATCTCTTAGTCAGAACATGCGCAGTGAGACAAAAATGATGTTCTGATTAATATGCACATCTTCAGTCACCGTCCTACTTTAATTTTTTTTAAATACTTCTCCTCTTTTACTTCCTTCTTACTTTCCTTTTCTGTTTGGACGTATTTTTCAGTCTTTTTTTTTTTTGAAGGACAAAATAGACCTATAGTTGAAATTGTCTCCCAAGATTGATAATCCCGGGGTGTTTGGTTGGTGGGATAAGGGATAATACCCGAAATAAAATATGAGATTATTTTATTTTATGTTAGTTATAGGTATTAGTTAGTCACGGAAACTCTTTTGTACTAAAATGGTGGGATTAGCAATCCCGTATAGAATGTGAGATAGCTAATCCCTGAAGATATCCTTGTCTATACCATCCTGGTAATCAGACGACCTCGAAAATTCAAGAAAAATTCAAGAACAAATTGACCGCTTTATACTTCAGAAACAAACATAAACAAATATTAATCACTTTCATCTTAATAAAAAAAAGAATTAAGAATCTTTAGTTCAAATATTCAAATAGTCTTTCTTTATATATATATTTGGAAAAAAGAAAAGAAAGGGAAAAGGATGCAATATTCGTGTGTAAGATGGATTGATTTAAGAAATCTTTTTTTTTTCAAGAAGAAAAGAAAATAAAACATAAGAAAATAATACGTTGATATCTTCTTAGTGGTGAACATTTCAATGTACTAAAATTTTATTGGTCTTCTTTAGTTATGAATACTATTAATCTTCAGGTTCCTCAATTAGCTTTGACAAATTCATATGTTGTAGCTAAGATTATGTACGAAAAGTATAAAGAAAATAGTTGGCTTCAAATCTTCAACCCAATACCAATCATATTTGATTAATCATTAAATTTATGAACTTGATATGATAATTTTTAAATATTTTAAACATGACGTACTTGTTCTATCAAATCAGAACTAATTTCGTGATCTTTGTATTTCAAACTGGTGCAATTACAGAAATTTCAAATTAGATGACCTTAGAGAGGAATTTTGGCTGCGGTAGCAGCCATTGCCCATTGGCATCCTTTGACGCCTTTTTTTTTTTTTTTTTTTTTTTAATTTTTAATGTTGAATGAAATTTTGATTATCAACTTGTTTTGACTTTTTGCTGTTTTTTTTCTAATAATAATAAAAATGTGATATATTCTCACTTTTTGAACAGTTTACTAATTTTATTTCTCTCTAACACAAGGCTATACCTACCAAAGTGAAAAGTAAACTCTATAAAAAAGTTATAAGACCAACAATGTTATATGAGAATGTCATTGAGATATAGAAAGTGTGGTCATACAAGATAAGAAATGATCACATTATTAGACAGAACATGTATCACATATCAAGAATAAAATGAAAGATGATCATTTTCGATGGTTTAATCATGTCATACATACAATGGCAAAACTAGTCTTTAAGAGTGTTAAAATTTAAAAGAAGTGAAAAGAAATTTCGATAAAGGGTGTTCAATATGTGTTATATACCTCTAAAACGTAATATTTTACCTATGTACACAGTGCAATTTTTCGAGACAATGTAGCTTCGCCACTAAATGCATAGACCTTTAGATGCACCGGTCAGTATGTGTAAAACTATAGTGAATGAAGATATTAAAATAGAATGAGGTAGACATATAATTACATGAAAAAAGTTTTTTTGAGATGTCTACAATCTCTTAGAATTACTTAAATCTAGGAAAAATATGGCACAACGGAAGAAATAAGATCTATATGGGTGATGCCGGTTAGTTGGAACTATGTTTGCTCACGTTGTACATTAACTCTTATATTTTCTGAATTTCTTTAACATATTGGACGTTAATTCTATTATCAAAATTATCCCCGCGACTAACGGCACTTCATGTGGGCCTCTCACTAAATGATGTGACATTCTTTCATTTGTCCACATGGCTCAGTGGGACTGAAATTGTATTTGGGTAAATTTTGACCCATTTAACCGATCCGACCCACTATTTTTTATATGGGTCAGCTCTCCGTACAGTGCGACTACCGTGAGCAGTAACACGGTCGTGCTTTAATGCACACTGCTCTACCGTTGGAAAGCCACCAGACCACCACCAAAAGATGCGCCTTCCAATTGCGCACCAACTTCAACAAACCATTTCCCAAAACAATTCCCTAGCTACTACAAATTTGCAAAATGGTGCTGGGATCACTGTAGCGCAAAATCACCTGGGAGTTCAAATCGAGCCATTCCAAGCACCAAGGATTCTTCTCTAGGTCCATATCAATCTCCCCACCAAAATCTGGAGGATTTCAGCGTCGGAATTGGAAGCCCCGATCAACTGAACAGTCCAAAAATGCACTAGATGGTAGAGCATGGAGTTATGGTGAACCAATTGGCCCAAGACCAATGCCAAACGATTCCTACTGTTCAGGAGATCGTTTCCAACTCCTCAAACCCAAACTCATCGGCTCAATCTCCACAACAATTCAAAAAGGTAATTTCACAAATTTGGGATCACCAGACGTTCGACAAAATGTCCAAGCCAATTCCCCAGCTCAAATGGTTGGTACTGATGTTCCTCAAGCTTTTCATGATCATAATGAAGTCAGTCGTCTAACCTAATTCTCACGAAACAATTCAAAAAAGGGTGATCAGGCACTTTCTTCCCCTTTCAGTTCCTCATGTGGCCGTCAATGGTGTTCAGTCTATTGAAAATGATCAGAGCCAAGTTAAAGTTAAATGGGTTGAAATTTCGGAGAGCTGACCCACATAAAAAAGAGTGGATCAGATCAGTTAAATGAGTCCAAATTTACCCAAATACAATTTCGACCTCTCTGAGCCATGCGGACAAATGAAAGAATGCCATATCATTTAATGAGAGGCTCACATGAAGTGCCGTTCGGTGGGTAATTTTAGCAATAGAATTAACGTCCTACATATTTTCAGACGGATAGATGGATGGAGGATTTTTATAAACCATTTAGCATATGACAGGGGTATCAGGTATCTTAGGCCCTTTTCCGTTTCTTTAATTCTATCTACAAAAAATATATAAAAAAATTGTAAACATATTATTAAGATTAAAAATATTTGAAATTTTAATAATATTTATTATTAAGTTGACTTGTGACTTATTTCACAGATTTGTTACGTTAAAACTCAAATTTACATTGACTTAATAACATGAAACATTACCTTTATCCAATGAAGAATGAGCGTAGGACTTTAAAAACTAAAAGAATATCAAGCCAAGAAACGTTGATAATTCAAAACTTCTTTATAACTAAAAAATAATTTAAAAATAATAAGTACGGTACATTTATTTATTTTCTTGAAAATTTTAAATTGAAATCCGAATACATTATAATAACCACCTAAGCTAAGCTAAGTTATTGTGTAAAAGAGAATATTAATCTTCGAATTTAGAAAACAAAAAACAATTTTAATCTTCTTTCCTAGAGAATCACAATATATTCCTCTTTCCTTTCTTTTTTTTAAATTATTCTCCCCAGCATCTAAGTTTTTTCTTTTGAAAAAAGAATTTATCCCAAAAACCAAGAGTAGCCGCCCCGCCACCCAAACCTCAAATAAAGAAATAAAAAATACAAGTATAATTTCATAAATAAAAAAATAAAGTTTAAATTCAATGCACTTATAATGTAACAAATATATATACAATCATATCATTTACTAAAATTATATATTAATTTATTAACAAATTAGTTGATAATGCTATAAATGATAATTAACCTAATCATCACAAATTAAATTCACAATATTATAAGAAAATAAGAAACCCAAAAAAATAAACTAAAAGAAAAAAGGAAATGAAAAAAAGAAGAAAAAGCCACTATTTTTCCAGCTTTTCTTTTCTTGTATACCATTTTCCCTATTTCTCCTTCATCATCTTCTTCTTCTCTCCGTCTCTTTGAATCAAATTCCCTTTAATTTTCCACAAATTTCGTTTCCATTAGATTCTCTCTCTCTCTCTCTCTCTCTCTCTCTCTCTCTCTCTCTCTCTCTCTCTCTCTCTCTCTCTCTCTCTCTCTCTCTCTCTTATTTTCCCTTCTCTTTCCCATTCCATTTCCATTTCCTCTCTAATTCTTTTTTTTCAAGAATCCAAAAACCCACTTAACCTTTTTTCTTTCCTCATATTATCTTCCCAGATTTAGGGTTTCTCTTCAACGCTATAATTTTTTTTGTTGCAATTTTTCCCCATTCATTGTATTATTCTTTTATTTTTTTTAATTACAAAGGGGAGACTTTTGTTGAAAAAAATACTTGTTCCAAGTGTTTTCCATATATATGATTGATATTAGGTATTAGGGTTTTGAAGATTTTTTTGTTTGTTTCTGGGGTCACCAGAAAGAAGTCATTTTTGGTAATTTCTTTTGGTTTTTTCTGGATCTGAGGGTAATTTCAAGATTTAAACCTGTTTAGTTGAATTGGGTTTAAGTGAAATCAAGAAAAGATTCAATCTCTGAGTATGGATCATGTGGTAGGTGGCAAGTTTAGGCTAGGCCGAAAGATCGGTAGTGGATCTTTTGGGGAACTTTATTTAGGTAATCTCAATTTGTATTTCTTGATTGTTGTTAATTTCAATTGTAGCTTAACATTTTTTTGTTATGGGGCTTGTGTTGACTTTCAGTTTTTTTATATCAGGAGTCAATGTACAAACTGGAGAAGAAGTTGCTGTTAAGCTGGTGAGTATGTTTATTAGAATTAGAGATTGGGTCTTTTCATTGGATTTGAATAAAATTAAGAATGTTGATTTAGCTGAAGCTGGAAACTCAATACATGGTTGTGGTGTCAATTGTCTTAAGATTGAGCTTTTCACTCTACTAAATAAAACTAAAAACAACATTAAGAAAATTAAAAAAACAATGAGTCTTTTACTAGAAGATGAGAAGATTAATCTTGAGCTATCAATTGTCAAATAAAAAACTCACAATATAATAGATACACATTGCTATATTGTGCTTTGTTACCGTTCCCAAAAAAAAAATTGCTATTTTGGCTGAATGTTCGAGTAACGTTGCTTATTTGACCCTTTATTTGGTTAGTCTGCATTTGCTGGATATAGCTTCTATTTCTGAAGAGTCCATATTGGTTTGGTAGGGGACCATATTGTGATATATTATAAGACTTCATATGTGGCTTGCTTCTTTCACCATTCGTCAAGTGTTTTAGAACATCAATGAGATTTTCTTGCGCTTTCTATGCAGGAATGTGTTTCTAGTGCTATGTTTAGTATTGAAGGTTTTTTCTTTGACACATTAGCTTTATTTTTTCGTTTCCAGGAATCAACTAAAACAAAGCACCCTCAACTTCATTATGAATCAAAGCTGTATATGCTTCTACAAGGAGGAAGTAAGTAATAGCTTCTACCCGTGAATATCAATGACGGATTATATTTTTTTGAGCTGAACTGATCTGTTTTTTTCTTTTATCATTTTCTTACTTTAAGCTGGAATTCCACACCTCAAGTGGTTTGGCGTTGAAGGTGAATACAATGCCATGGTTATTGACCTTCTTGGGCCAAGTTTGGAAGACTTGTTTAACTATTGCAATAGGAGGTTCACTTTAAAGACTGTGTTAATGCTGGCAGATCAATTGGTAAATAATTAAAATTATATATACTGATTAAAGCATAAATAATGTAGCTGGTTGCATAAGACTTGTTCTCCTATGCAGATTAATAGGGTTGAATATATGCACTCAAGAGGATTTCTTCACCGCGACATTAAGCCTGACAACTTCTTAATGGGTTTAGGGCGTAAAGCAAATCAGGTGTGCACTTCATAATATGTTCTCGAATTGTTCATCTTTGTCTGTGTATTTTAAAACAAAGTTGTATGCTCCTACGTGTTGGACTGGCTATTCGGGAAAATTGTCCACCTATTTGTCTGGAAACTAGATCAGAGGATCTAGGAAGTTGGTACTTTCTTAGGGTTTTATAGTTCCACTATATGAGTGCTTCTCCATCATTTGTGGAGCTCGAACATTCTATCTTGCTCGTTGAGCTTGATCTAGGAACTTTTGGAGTAACATCTTTTTGGTATTCCCTTATGTTATCTGTAGTCTGTACCATTGTGAATCTACGTTGGACAAAGTTTAAAAATTTGATGGAAAAACAATTCTCATGGCATGAATGCTGCAGCTCTAAACAATTTTGGGTGTTTTCTTTTGCTATAACAGGTATACATCATTGACTATGGTCTTGCCAAGAAGTACAGAGATCTTCAGACGCATAAGCATATTCCATACAGGTATAAAATGTGAACCTCTTCTGTTCCTCAAAGATCTCCATGTGATCTTTCACTTTTAGAAATTAAAATGGTCCAATTGGTGACAAAGTGTTAGAATCAAGGACGATTACTTGATAGAAAGAAGCCGAAGGTTGAGCTGTTTCCATTTGTCTCTTTGGTGGCTTCATTTTGATTTTTGCAGTAGTGAGCATTTGATTTTTATCTTGAACTGAGTAGCAACCCTCGCTGATTTGTTATATTTTCTCCAAAGTTCACATTTGCATAAGCTGAATCAAAGCCACCAATAGGGGATCTCAGAAACCATATTGTTTCATTTTGCTTCTGTAAATTTTGACTGTGCATGGTGTACTATGTCACTTATAATCAAAGAGTTGGATTACTTTTCCCCACCTCCATTCCTGCTTGGACACATCTCTTATTTTTTCACTCGCTCGCCGTCCATTCTATATACACTTCCAAGCTTCTCAATAATTGATGGTTAGATTAAGAAACAAATTTGGAGGTTTTCATTCTTATCACGCTTTTCTTTCCTTCACCTTATTTTTATAGGGTGTTGGGTGGATGGATTGGAGTGTATGTTGATTTTTGAATAATTTATTTGCTCCTTTTGACAGGGAAAACAAAAACCTCACAGGAACGGCTCGTTATGCTAGTGTTAACACCCATCTTGGAGTTGGTAAGCGACGATAATGATATCGTTTTTGGTACTTAGTATTCTTTGGAATTGAACATAATTCACTCGCTTCTTTGTATGCAGAGCAAAGTAGAAGAGACGATCTGGAGTCACTCGGTTATGTGCTTATGTATTTTTTGAGAGGAAGGTTTGGGAACTACAGTTTTAATGTTGATCTTTTGGCTCCTGTCTTTTGATTTCCATGTGCCTTGTTTCTTACAATTAGCATATTTAATTGTCTTTACTAGTCTGCCGTGGCAAGGTCTGAAAGCGGGCACCAAAAAGCAGAAATATGACAAGATTAGTGAGAAGAAGATGCTTACACCTATAGAGGTAGTGTGACTTTGTGTACATTATATGTTCTGTGTAAAATCTTGATATGAGATGCTACATGTTTGGTCATACAGGAGAGTACTGGGTCTTACAAATATATACCTGCCCTAAATATGTGTTCTGTGCATTAAACTGCATAATGACATATTCCATTGGTCTTTGTTAAGCAGGTGCTTTGCAAATCTTATCCCTCAGAATTCATATCATATTTTCATTACTGCCGATCATTACGGTTTGATGACAAGCCTGATTACTCATACCTGAAGAGGCTATTCCGAGACCTTTTTATTAGAGAAGGTATATTTTATAGTTTATGATGCTAGTAGTTTCAGTCATCCATTCCATCCTTTATATTTTCTCTTTGGTATTTATCATATGTTTTATTTCAGTAGTTTTATACAAGAAACTTTTTTTTGTGTGCGTTGCAGGTTATCAATTTGACTACGTATTTGACTGGACTATATTGAAATATCCACAGATTGGCTCTAGTTCAAGAGGACGAGTCTGTCCCTTTTTTCTGCCCTCACTAAAAACTTATCCACTGTCACTTGATTTCTGCGTTATAAAGATACACTAGTCTTACCCTTCTGTTTCTTTTTCAGCAACCTACTGGGAGATTACCTGTGAACCCAGGACCATCCGCTGAGAGAGCAGAAAAGATTCCTGGTACTGTTTTAAGAAACTTTGGCTTAAGAAGTAACAGCTTGAATTTCTGATAGTGTGTTCATTGATGTTTAGGCTCATGGTGCTTGTCCTTTGTCTCCAATCTAATTTATGCTTTTTGTAAAATAACCAATTATTGGGAGCGGAATAGCAATATAAGCCTCTTGAGGGGGAAGAGAGAGAGAGAGACGTATGGTGCTCAAGTATGTGCATAGACTAAAAGTTGGATCTACCCTAGTCTGGGGGAATGGGTGCTCTACTCTT